GGCCCGTCTTGGGGCCCTCTTGGGCCATCTTGGGCGCCTCTTGGGCCGTCTTGGGGCCCTCTTGGGCTGTCCTGGGGCCCTCTTGGAAGCTTCTTGGGCCGTCTTGGGGCGGTCTTGGGCGCCTCTTGGGCCGTCCTGTAACGTCGGAAAGCCCAAAAGGCAACTTTGTTGAAAATGTACGTTTTACGAAGGGAATGGGCAATTTTTTGCGTCTAGGGGCCCTCTTGGGACGCATGTTGGAGGCTTCTTGGGGCCTCTTGGGGGCGTCCTTGGACGTCTGGAGGCCATCTTCAGCATCTCGGAGCCCTCTTGGAGGCCTCTTGGAAGTTTCTTGGGCCGTCTTGGGCGCTTCTGGGGCCCTCTTGTCTGACCGGGGAGGCCTCCGGCAAGCCCCGACGAGCCTCCGGGCCCCCCGGAGCCCACATTTGCGGTCGAGGTCCCGGCCCCGGGCCCCCGGACCCGGTCCCCCGTTATATGTATACAACTACCACAACTATGACCACGAGCACTTCTACGACAACAAACACTACGTGTACTAGTACTAGTACTAGTACTAGTACTAGTACTAGTACTAGTACTAGTACTAGTACTACTACTACTACTACTACTACTACTACTACTACAACTACTAACACTACTACTACTACTACTACTACTACTACTATACTACTACTACTACTACTACTACCACTACTTGGAAAATACTAAGACGACTTCAATTCCTACTACTACAACTACTACTACTACTACTACTACTACTACTACTACTACTACTACTACGACGCCGATTACTGCCAATACTACTACCATTCCCACGACCACTACCTACTACTACTACTACTACTACTACTACTACTACGGGTACTCTACTGCGCAACTACTACACTACCCACCGACTACTATGATACTACTACACTACTACTACAGGGGATGAAGACTGCCCCAGAGAGCCCCAAGACTGCCCACAAAAAGCCCAAGATGCCCCCAGAAGGCTCCCAGGAGAGACCCACGAAAGCCATGGGAAACACCCGAAAAGGCCACTGGAGGGCCCCGAGAGGGCCCTGGATGGCTTCAGAAAACCTCTGGAGGCCCCAGCTCTCCAAGACAGCCCAAGAAGGCCCCAGGACGGCCCAAGAGGGCCCCAGGACGGCCCAAAGGAACCCCAAAAACGCCCAGATGGCGTTCTCCTACGAAGTACATCGAGCTGACCTGACGATCTTGGTTCCACGCTTGAGGCTCGAGGTTTATGTTCCTCGATCGAGAGAAACAGGCTATGGATCTAGATTCGAAGTTCGACGATCGAAGATTTCCTGAGTGCCTGGAGCCCTCCAGGCACTAAGGAAACGACCAAACATCGATTTGTTATGATTTGTTCGGAGCTACTGCGACATCTTCGGCGTGTCATGGGAACGCTCCTTACTTCCTCAAAGGACCTTCGCGCGTGAAACAAATCATCATTCCTTCCCCACTCTGGCACACAAGCGTGCAAACGCATCGGGCGAACGCGGTGTCAGAAGACACCAGAGAAATCAGAAAAATGAGCCAGTCGCCCGTCCAGGCCTCGAGGCCCCCCCCTGCTGAAACAAGCGATGGTTAGGGTCCGGAACAAGGCGCATGGCGCGAAACGCCAATGCAATCTTGTATGTCCCTCTCTCTATATGTATGTATATATATATGTATATGTATATATATGTATATATATGTATATATGTATACAGTCGTTCCCATCTATTTCTAATCTGGGACCCTGCGACCCACAACCCCTCTAAACGGGACCTCCCGGTTCTTTTGGGGGGGGGGGGGGCCTCTTAGCCCGTCGTGGGCGCCCTGAGGAACGGAAAGGCAAAATATGTACGAGGCTGATGCAAGAACTACCGGGCATGCCCGTCTAGCTTTTTGAACTCCCTGTATGTTTGTCCCCTGGGGGAGCTCTGCATGGAGCTCGTCTGGCCCCCTGGTCCCGTCAAGGGGGGCCGTTGGAGCCGCCTCGTGAGCGGTTTTGGAGGGGGAGGAGAAGGAGGAGCAGCAGGAGGAGAAGGAGGAGAAAGAGGAAGAGGAGGAGGAAGAGGATGAAAAGGAGGAGGAGAAGGAGGAGGAGGAGGGGGAAGAGGAGGGGGAGGAGGAGGAGCAGGAGGAGGAGGAAGAGGAATGGAATGGAATGGCTTCATGACGGTGTCGTATCTAATGGACGAGCACGCGCTGCCAATTCGGCAGCACTCCGCACCTTGGGCACAAGACCTCTCCTGATGCGATCCAGGTAATCTCTCCTGGTCGGGTTCAGGGGCTTGTGACA